AAAGAAGTGTCAGTCTGGGCAGGGGGGCAGGAGGAGATAAGAAAGCCCTGGGTTAATAACCTAGCGTTTCCCAGGGATGGAGCCATTGTCCCTCAGACTCCCACTTAAGGTGCCGAGCAGGTCCTGCCCGGAAGGTCTTCGGGGAGACCTGAACTTCCTAGGAGAGAAGAGGGGCCTGAGGTCTCTCTGACGCTTTGCCTGTAGTCTGGCGTCCCCTTCCCCTGCCCCAGGAGGTCCAGCTTTGGGTCCACTCTGTACACAGTGGGTGATTATCCTCCACCAACAAAGCACAGCGTGAAGAGCAACAGCAGTGTACGTTTTGGGAGCTTCTACCACGTCCTGGGAACTGTGCTCAGTCTCAGTTTAGTTAATATTCGTGGAGATTCTATGAAGGAGGGACCCTTAGAACCCCCATTAAACGAAAGAAGAAACCAAGGTTTTGGAGAAGTTCGGTAACTTGCCCAAGGTCACACAGCTAGAAACGAGGGTGGACGTTCCCCTCGGTGGTTCTGGTTCTGGTTCTGGTGCTCTCTGGGCACGTCCACCGTGGGTCTGAGCCCCAGTGAAATCCACTCCCCCCGCCGGCCGAGGAGCCGCACGCCCCTCCTCAGGCCAGGTCACCGGGTGTTTCCTGAGCCCAGTTCCACAGCACTTTGCTCTCCCAGAGGCTGCTGGGTAATTGTGCAGTGTGGTTTCCCACACCAGGTGCCCCCGGAAGACTGGACTCCTGACACCTGAACAAGGTGTCACACCTAGTATGGAGTCACGGACTTCTTGTCCCCAGTTCCCAAGAAAACCTTGCAAAAGCACAGCACCTTGTCCGTTGTTGACTTTTCTTCCCTGATTTTCCTTTGGAGCTCACTCCTGTTCACCAGTAGCGACAAAACCAGTGACAGCAACAGCAAGACAACTGGACAAGTAGCGAGCAAATGAGTATTGACAGAGAGTCACGGAGATGTGAGAGGTTTCGTATTGTATGCCTTATGTCTTGTGCTATCAAGAGACCTGGCTATATATCAACTACATTATTTCTGCTAGCAATTTGCTCCTGGTTTGTCAGGACACAGTTAGAGCTGCCTCTGTGCCTAAGGGTTTGTGGCTTGCAGGTGTCCTGCCAACAAAACAAATTTCAAAACTAAGGGATATTTATAAAAAACTAGACTTGGCGGAAGTAGGCACTTCTAATAGAAATAGCTAATATTTATGAGATTGCCTCCCATCTTCCAGGACAACTCCTCAGCACTTTTGATATACTTTTGATCTCAGTGGAACCTCACAATGCCCCTATGAGGTAGACACTGCCATTATACCCATTTTACAGATGAGGAAACTGAGGCCCAGGGAGATGAAGTAGCCTGCCAAGGCCAGACAGTTTAAAGCCAGTGGGAACAGACATGGAATGAGCCCAGTCTGACTCTGGGCCCTGCTGCTTTCTCTCCAGGCTGAATGGGAAATAAAGAAGGAAGATGAGGGAAGAAGACTAATACTTAGGAAGTACTTTCTCTTGCCCAGGGGGCTTCCACCCTCAAGAGAGGCGTACCTTTCTTCTGTCATGAAGCTAGTGCCTGGTGTACATATGAAATGCACTGGATCGGGACTCACCTGGTGGCTGAGCTGACCATCAAAATTTTACCTGCCTCCTAGGGCTTTGGGTCAAATAAGACATATGTGGGGAAAAGGCTTTGAAGGCTATTCATGTGCCTGGGGTACTAGAGGGCAACACAGCCCCGTGGTTGGCCCCAGTGGGCCCAGGGTAGGAAGGCACATGTCTTAGGGGATGTGGGCCTTTGCACATAGTTCTTAGGCCTCCAGAACCTACCTTTCCCAGCCTCAACGTGCCTTTGATCAGGCTGGGTGCATTTAAGGCCACGTACAGTGATCTGAAGGGGGCTGAGTCCTGTGCAATGATCCCCCCACCCCGGCCTAAGTCTCCTCTGATCAGCTGTGTTCACCTCCTTGTGTCTCCCGTGCAGGTAAAGCCCAGAACCTGGTTCTCCACCCACTGCCTGCCTGTCAGGGGTCCTGGCAGAAGATCCTGTGGGCAGAGGAGGGCCGCATGGTCTTACGTAACCAGTACTGAGCGAGGGGCGCCGATTCTCAATAGTCCCTACCCTTGCCTCCCTTACAGCTTCGAGGGAACAGCAGCCGGGTCACGTGGAGAAGCTTTCAAAATGGCAACCACGCCAGGGAGAAATTGATTCCCTCGGCCCACCCCCTTCCCCCGCCCCTCTTTTCATTTATGAATTCAGTTTTTTTGTCAGGCTGAGCATTTAAATGCATTTTGTGCTCTCTGGATTCCCCCGTTTCTTCCCCTCCCTCATTAAAATTCTAATTATTACCAGAGCAAGTAAGATGTAGGATCAAAAGAAAGTCAAAGCCCTAGAAATACCTTTTGTCTGAAGATGACTCACTGCGGGGAAGGCGCCCGGAGCAGCTGTGACAGAGAGCAGTCCAGGGGTGGCCAGGTGCTCGGAGCCCTCGAACCTCAGCCGCCCCACTCAGGAGCCACGTGACCCTGGGCGCCTCTGCGTCCTCATCTGTGACTGACAATAATGATTCCTCTCTCCGTGGGGAGTAGGACGTCAGTGGAGACGTGAAAAGCACGGTGTGCCTTGGACATAGTAATATTCAGTAACTTGACTGGATCCAATACTATTACTGTCAACCTGTACGTATATTAAGATTTCATTGTCCTTTTTTTAAATCCTCACCTGAGGAAATGTTTTTTATTGATTTGAGAGAGAGAAGGAGAGAATAGAACATCGATATAAGAGAGAAACATCGATTAGTTGCCTCCCGCACATGCCCCAACCAGGGATTGAACCCACAACCTGAGTACGTAGGTGCCTGAACCTGAAATGGAACCTGCAACATTTTGGTGTACGGGACAATGCTCCAACCAACTGAGCCACCCGGGCAGGGCTTGATGTCTTGTTTTTAAGATAATAAATAAATATTTTAGAAACCTGTTCTGTTCCTCTCTTGTGCCCCAGAGGTGCGTGCACACCACGGCAGAGACTTTGAGTCTAGAAGTTGACTTAGACCCAGCCTTCCTGGTCCCTGGCAGTCTCTGGGGGATGGACGGGCCCCAGCTCCTTTGGCCAAGGAACGGCCCTGGTGTCTCCGTGCAGGGGCCTGGGGGTTGGTGCCAGTGGCTAAGGACTAGGGGGTTGTCTGCTGTTAGTCCTTAGCCGTGAAGGTGGTAGCTGATCAAGGCCATTACTGTATAGCCAGGGAGTCGGAAGGCAGTGCTGGCTCCGCCGAGGAGGTGGCTGAAGCTCTCACCTCCTTGTCAGACCCCCTGGATGGGGGCGCTCTCCCTGGGCCTGTGGGCCATGAGAGCTCCGGGTCCCCCCAGGAGGGACCTGGCATCTCGGTACTCCAAGCAGAGCTTAGCACCTGGCGCAAGGCAAATGCTCAGAAAATGCTGGTTGAGAGATAATTACAGCTTCTTTATGTGCCATTCGTTCATTTACTCATTTATTCTCATGGGCCAGTTTCTATGCTAGGTCCTGAGTCAGGTGGATATAAAAAACACAGGGTTCCAGTCGCCTGCAGCTTAATCAGGGATAAACAGGCTAGGACAGCAGCAAGGGCCCCGGGCTCGGCCATGGACCTCAGGACCCCTACCCAGGCTCTGTGTCTGACCTGTGACCCCAGGCGAGTCCCCTCTCTGGACCACTCTTATCTGCAGAAGCACAGCCTGGCCTCAGTACTTTCAAAGTCGCTTCTCACCTTAAAAAGATATTTAAGGCCCAGGGACGGGGTAATCCTGGGGCTGCAGACTCACAGGCCTGCAGGGGCCGGTGGGGAGCAGGGGGGGAGATTTGGTGAGGACACGTCCTTCCAAAGGGAGTCAGTCACCCGTGCCCACCACGAGTGAGTTCCAGAGCAGGTACCAAGGCACCTGCCCTTTGCCAAAGTAGCAAAAAATCTGGTGTGATGCTCAGATGGTGGGATTTCTCAGTTTCCCAGTGACCGTGCAAGCTGCTGGACGAGACTTATCTGCTGGCTTGGGCGCACCTGCCGGGGCTCCCTCGCTTCCGAGCCTCGGGCCTCTCCACTCAGGTCTTTCCTAGAAGGCACTGAGGGGTCTGCTAGATCACTCCTCCCAAAGGGAGGCGTCCTCACAGCTCCCTGGGGATACAGACACCCTACCAGGGTCAGGGGTGGACTGGGGGGGCCTGGGGGTGGGGCAGTGAGCATCCGCCTTTGAACCCATAACAACGTTCAAAAATACCACTTTACAATGAAACTCTCAAATAGCCACAGGAATGGGGAAAAAAGATAGCTACAGGGGTCATTTGTACTTAGCTTCAAAATAAACTGTGTGGATTGGGTTCCAACTTAATACAAGTGTTTGCGGAGCCTACTATGCACCAAGTTCTGAGTGTAGAAGATGCACTTGACCTAACCGGGGCCCTCAGAGCGATCCTGCGCGATCTCATCCCCTTCAAGCTGACTCCGGAACGATTTATTGAGCCCCTGCTCTGGGCTCAGTGGGGGTGGGAAGAGGATGGACGAGCTCCTGGAGCCTCTGGTCTCCAAGGCCACTCAGCCTGTTGAGGACGAGAGCTGTGCACAAAAATGACTCTGCTCGAAGTCTGGCCAGTGTGACTGCTCTAATAGAAATTCAAAGAGCATCCAAATGTGAATGCCTCGCAAATGTGCACATTTGCTGAGGCTGTTACAAAAATCACTTTCCCTTTCGGCACACACGCCAACAAGCAGTTGGGTGCTCCCCAGGCCTGCGGCAGGGGGCGGTGGTGGGGGGAGGGGCGGGGCTGTGAAGTCAGAGCCAGTGAAGGCGAGTGGCCTGTGGGGTGTCAGCCCTGCAGCCATGGCTCCTCCGCCTGGGCCTGGGCAGCCTTCTCACGGCCACTCTTTTCTCTTCTTCCGTCTTTGTTCCTTGTGTGTGCTCCCTCTCCCATCGCCCTTCCCTGCTTCCCCCTGCTGCTGTGTGTCACTGTCCCTCCCTGCCCGGCTCCCGCCGGGGGCAGGCACCTCTGCCAGCCTCCTCGCAGTGGTGGTGATTGTGTGTGGTGTGGCCCTGGTGGCAGTTTTTCTCTTTCTCTTTTGGAAGCTGCGCTGGACGCCCTGGAGGAACAAGGAGGCCTCCAGCCCCTCGTCTGCTGACGTGCCCCCGGGAGCCTTCCAGAGCCCCTGCTCCAGAGCCAAGATGGCAGACAAGCTGAAGGACCCCCACTCCCTGGGCTTCCTGGAGGCGGCGGTGAAGATCAGCCACACGTCCCCAGACATCCCGGCCGAGGTGCAGATGTCGGTCAGAGAGCACATCGCACGTCACACACGGCTGCAGAGACAGACCACAGAGCCCACGTCGTCCACCAGGTGAGGGGTGGAGCACTCCCTCCCTAACCCCGCACCTGCACGTTCCCTTATTCAGTAGAGAGATCCCAGCCTGTGAGGGCCAGGGACCAGAGATAACAACCAGTGAGCTCCGAGTGGAGAGCGTTTCAGATCATGTGGTCTCTGGGGTGATCAGCCAGGAGGTGGGCCAGCAAAGACCTCGAGAAAGGGGGACCTTTCGGGTGGGGTGCTGTGCAGGTGGTGTGCATCCAGATGGGTGTGGGTGGGCGGGGGGGGGGAGTGTTTGAAGGGAAAGGAAGACATCCGGCAGAGGGAAGAGAGTGTGCAAAGGCCTAGAAGCATAAAAGTTCACGGGGCATCTAGGGCTGTGTCGATGAAGCCTTGGAGATGCAGTCTGCAGGGCACAGGAGACGGGGCAAGAGCATCTTACCCTTTGGGAACGAGGGTTCCTTCCTAACCTTTGGCAGAGTTCTCTGCATGGCAGTGGTTGAATGCGTGGCATTCGTAACTGAAAAGTCAAAACCAACAACCGCCACATAACGATAAGAACCTGCTCTAAATCCAGAAACACTTTTAAAAGAAGCAATGCCTGCAGGCACGAGGCATTGCATTTATTCACAACTTCGGGCTCCTGTGGGTTCCTGGGACCTTGCAGTACCCTGGCCCACCCCCAGCCCTCGGGGGACCAGCCCAGAGAAAAGAGGCCAGGAATCAGAGCGTGGGGCCCCACTCTGACAGGTTAGTTTACCGCACGACCGTGAGCAAGTTGCCCGTGTCTCCCCAGCCTCCCTTTCCACAACCCTGACATAGAGCTGACGACTCCTAGGGCTGCTATGAAGAGCCAATGAAGGAATCCGTGTGATGGCAGGAGCTGAGGATGTCACTTATCACACACGAGCCCTGTTCTAGCAAGTGCTTCGTGTATGGGAGCTCATTTTCACCCTCACAGCCATCCTGGGCAATTGTTACTTTTGTTATCGTCATTTTATATCAAAGAGAAGTTAAATAACTTGCCCAAGCTCCCATGGCTAGACAGTGGCAGAGCCAGCATTACCCTCTACAGTCTGGCTCCAAAGCCCAGTAATGTGAATTCTGGTGATGGAGGGAGAAGGGGATGGCCGGGCAGCCGCCAGCCACATCCAGGGGAGGAAAGGATGGTCCTCCTCCTGAGGGATGTCATGGGGGTCACGTCTACTGGGAAAGAAACCTAGAAAGCAGTTAGTTAGCAGAAAGGCAGGGAACATGATAATGGATGACATTTCGTGAGCTTACTGTATACCCGGCCCCACTGCAACCACTCATACTAAGAGGGGCACTGCACACAACGACGTGCGCATGCGCGCGGAGAGGGAAAGGACAGGCCGGAGCCCGGCGGGGTCTGCCTGCACCCAGTCCCGCTGAGCGCTGACCACGCCCCCTGCACCCTCCTCCGGCCCTCCGCCAGGCACACGTCCTTCAAGCGCCACCTGCCCCGGCAGATGCACGTCTCCAGTGTGGACTACGGCAACGAGCTGCCGCCGGCGGCGGAGCAGCCCACCAGCATTGGCCGCATCAAGCCCGAGCTGTACAAGCAGAAGTCGGTGGACGGGGACGATGCCAAATCCGAGGCCGCCAAGAGCTGCGGGAAGATCAACTTCAGCCTGCGCTATGACTACGAAACCGAGACCCTGATCGTGCGCATCCTGAAGGCCTTCGACCTCCCCGCCAAGGACTTCTGCGGCAGCTCTGACCCTTACGTCAAGATCTACCTCCTGCCCGACCGCAAATGCAAGCAGCAGACGCGGGTGCACCGCAAGACCCTGAACCCCACCTTCGATGAGAACTTCCACTTCCCGGTGCCCTACGAGGAGCTGGCTGACCGCAAGCTGCACCTCAGCGTCTTCGACTTTGACCGCTTCTCCCGCCACGACATGATCGGGGAGGTCATCTTGGACAACCTCTTTGAGGCCTCCGACCTGTCCCGGGAGACCTCCATCTGGAAGGACATCCAGTACGCCACGAGTGTGAGTACAGCCTGCCCTCTGGGCTTCTGGAAGATTCCTGGTTCTGGGTTGAGCGAGATGTGCCCCTCACCCCTGGAGGCAGATGGGCCTTCACCCTTCAGGATATGAAGGGGGAGTGGAAACTGACCGGTGGCCCAGCCCACCCAAGGGAAGTGCTTGCATTCTGCCCCGGGTGGGGGGGCACCAGACCCCCCATGGGGGTAAGAAGCGAAGTGAATGTTTATTGCTTCTGATCGCCTGTTCTAGGCAACCCTTCTACCTGCTAGGCCTCAGGTTTGCCATCTACAGAGTAATGTTCTGTGTCTCTCTGACCATGGGTAAGGCTTGGGCCAGGCCCCTGTGCTGAATCAGGCAGCAATGCTCTGGAAAAAGCAATCAAGGGCAGGCTGTGTTAATTAGTATGAGCCAGATTATGGCACAGCAGCAGTCTTGGGATCTGGTGGCTTGGAGCAGTGATTTCAGCCGGTGTGCCGTGAGAGTTTTTAAAACACGGAACACCTGGCTATTTAGTCAGGGGCACTGACCTCTTACCCCTTAGAGTGTCAAATCAAAAAGTGACAACAGCCAACATGATGATGGCTGTCCAGTGTGAATGAACCAAAACTACACCTATTTTTGATCAGGTTGACAAAACATAGAATATGATTTTTGGCATGCCACAGAATTTCAGTAATCAGTTTATGTGCTCTGAGAGATGAAAAGGACTAAAAATCACTGGCTTAAAGCCAGCACGCTTCGGTTCTCGTTCACGCCGCACGGGTTTGCAGCCTGGCCGGGGCTCCTCTCTGCCTTGGTAGCCAGGGGTCTAGGCCAACAGAGGCTCTGTCTCCGCAGGTGCTTCCACGTTGGGAGGCGGGGGGGTGTGGCAAACTGTGCACTGTCTCTGAAAGCTTCCACTCAGAAGTGGCACATGTCACTTCAGTCACATTGTGTTGGCCAAAGCAAGATGGCTCCTAATGTGAAGGGGGCAGGGCAAGGCAATCCCAGTGTGACCAACACTTAATGACCAACGTGGTGACCACCCCTCCGTCGAGGTCCCTCTCACAGGCCCTGCCTGCCCAGGCCAGCCTGGGAAGCGGGGGAGCCAGCCCAAGAGGACACCTGACCCACACGGGAGAGAGGGGCCAGGCCGTCCAGGTGCAACTGGACTTCACCCAGCAGGTTTCGAAGAGCTGAGGAGAGGAGGGGGGACAGCCCTGACACTGAGAATCGGAGCGGCCAGCCCTGGGCTCTTAGGTCCGGTGTAGGCAGCGGGGGCCAGGGCACTGGGGGGGTGTGGTGAGGAGGCTGTGTGGTCTCACCTTGCAGGGGTGGGTGGTGTGTGTCTCCCTCCAAGTCCGCCCAGGCAGCTGAGAGCTCAGAGAGGCGTTTCCACAAGGCACCAATGGCCTCGCGTCTGGTGTCTTGAGTGCTAACTGCCTGTCTCCTCGATATTTCTCTGGGGCACGGGTGACCCCGCTCAGCCAGCAGACCCTCCCTATGGGCAGTCAGCACCCACTATCTCCATGTTGAATTTGTGAGGAGAGAGATGGGGAAAATCAGCCCTGCTCTGGTAAGAAAAGGGTAAGAATCTCTCCACGTTCAGAGAGAAAGAGAAATTTGGCGGGCCCTGTCTCTGCTCCAGGCAGAGAGTCTCTGCGCCCCCTTCTTATAGCCGGTGCCGGCTTTGACCAGTCCGCTCTGATATCCCAGTACCTCCCCCACCCTTACCTTCCAGAAATGTCACCCCCAGGAACAGCACCAGCAGCAGGGCAGGATGCTGCTGCATCCCTGCTCTGTAAATCACTGTGGAATGTACGCCCGGAGCAGCTCTTCCCTGGTTGTCTTTTAAGGCAACAGCTTCATTACAGGGACCGTGCAGGGAGAGAAAGACAGTGCAGTGCTCCCCACGCCCCCAAACTGTGGCTGAGACCCGGGGGCTCAGAGAGGCAGGCGCGAGGGCCGGGGGCTGCCCCCTTCTCATCAGAGTGCTCCCTTTCCCGGACTTCAGCTCCAGGCCTGAGAGGCAGCGGTCTGTTCAAGCACACCTGGACTTCAGGGTCCTAGATCCTAGAACTCCGTGGCTGTCCCTGCTCTCGTCCCATTACCCTTCCACAGCCAAGCTTCAGAAAAAATGCAAATCATCCAAAGGTGCTGGACAAATCATCACCATCGCTACCCTCCTCATGGTCACCATAATAGTCTTCCTCCATCTTCTCTGAGCAGAACCCTGTGCCAGGCACTGGGGGGTTGGGGGGGAGGGCAATGAGCTAGACGGCAGCCTCTTCACCCACAGGAATGTGTCATCTCATTACAGAGTCGGGAACCGTCCATGCGGGAACTAGCGAAGCATAGTTAGCAAATACTATGCACTGTGTGAGGTTGCAGGACCTGAGAGTTAGGGCAGCGGGAAAGGCTTCCCAGATGAGGGGCATCAAGCTCGGCGGGGAGGGACCTGATCAGTAAAGAGGAAGGGGAAGCATTCTAGCCAGGAGCCGAGCGTGGCCTGGAAAACGGGGGTGTCCAGGTCTGGGAGTGTCCGACGCCCGGAGCCAGTAACCAGACTCACGCTCCCTGCCTTGTTTATAATCTGCACTGGATTTCTCGCCTAAGCGAGGCCCCTGGGGACCTCTCCAGCAGGCGAAGGATTAGACAAAAGAAGGGAAAGGGAAATAAAGAAGGCTGGTGCTTTTACCCATTTTTTTTTTGTGCTGACTCTAAACTGGTAATTATTTTGAGTCCAGAAAGACCCAAGTCACAGACGCCAGGAATGGCCAAGCGCTCGGCGCATCTGAAATCCTGCAGCCAGCGTAGTGGGGTGCCGCAGACAAGCACAGACATCGGCCAGTTCCCTCCCAAAGGCTGCATGCACTTGGGCCCCAAGCTCAGAACTCCCACAGCTCCTCAGCCTCGCAGGCTGCTCCCTGAATGCGCCCGGCATCCCTGCCTCCTGCCACTTGCCTCTGCACACAGGTACCCCTGGCGGGCAGGCCTCCCCGCACCCCACGCCCCTGCCTGGCCCAAACCCACCCACCTCCTACAGCTTCCCTGAAGTCAGCCACCGATGTCTAGATTTACTCTGGGTTCCTTGTCCCTCGGTTATATCCCAAATCATATTCTGTCTTGCCAAATGCTCCTAGTGGCTCGGGAATCACTTGTGTCCCACATTTGCCTTTTACTTGTACTGTCCCCTCAGGGCTGAGCATGTCATTTCCTGCACATGTAGGAACTCTGCACACTCTTGTTGAAAGACCAATGGCTTTGTTAATCCAATTACAACCACACACAGATGCTCCTTGACTGATCCTGGGCTCATGTCCCAATGAATCCACCATTAAGTTGAAAATATCGCAAGTCAATATGCGTACAACACACCCAACCTACCGAGCACCCCGTCCTAGTGAGCCCACCTCACACACTACTCAGAGTTCACACTAGCCTGCCGCTGGGCACAGTTGCCTAACACCAGGGACACGCTGTGTCGTGTTGGTGGTTCACCCTCGTGCCGTGTGACTGATGAGGAGTTGGGGCCGCCCGCCACTTCCCAGCATCATGAGAGAGCAGCACACCACGTATCGCTAGCTCAGGCGAAAATCTAAATTCAACATTGATGTATGGTTTCTACTGACCGCATGTAGCTTTTACACCATTGTGCAGTCGAAAAATCATAAGTTGGGGACCATCCATGTTGGTGCACAAGGGCAGGGTCGTTAAAGCAGCAGAGGAATTGGGTCCGGTCAACCTGGGAAGGCTTCCTGGAGAAGGTGGCCATTTGGAAAATGGGTAGAGCCAGGGCTGGGGGGGAGAGACCCAGCTCGAGTGTCCCTCCAGAGGTCTGAAGTGGCAAAGAGATTAACCAGTCGGGACTGAAGTGGAGGGTCAGTCACCCACAGGCTGGCCAGAAGGAGAAGGGGCCCAGGAAGGCTCTCCGAGGTCACGCAAGTCCATGAATGCTGTCCCCTTGTTGCTTCTTGGGTTTGTATCAAAGACTCGGATGCAGCCCTGACAGGTGGAACCAGGTGTGTCCCTTATCTTGGGCTCTGTTCCAGGGGGTTTGAAGCAGCAAAGCCTGGAGCGTCTGTGTCACTTCTCACGACCACTGAACATAAGATTCGCGACTAGTAAGAAGGAGTGTGCATCCAGGGAGCCCAGCTCTTTGTTAATTGCAAACCTGAAGCCACAGGGACAATTGCCTCCCTGCCTCCAGGTTGTTTCGGAGGAAAGCCTAGGCAATGGCGAGCTACTGCACCCCCTTCCGGGCCACAGGGCGGTGAGAAGCAGGCAAAGCAGACATGCGAGGGATGTTGGCGGCCTCTGCGGCTCCATCCCATTAAGAAGCCCACTTGTGGGAAGGAATCAACAGTGTTCATTAAATCCACGCCATCCCCTGGCAGGGCTGCCCTGATGCCCCCCCTTGGCCCACCACCCTGCCTGGCTTCTCTAGGGTCCCCCGATGGGCTGCTGGGCTCTCCCAGTGGCCTATCATTTTCTCCCCACCCAGAGCTTCTATTGGCTGAAATCACCCTACCTCTCCCTCCCCCACACTTCTGCCCCCAGTCTCATTATTTCTACATAAAGCTGTAGATTTATCATTATAATAGAGCCGCCGTCACTGAGGTTTGCTAACATCTCTCTAATCTTGTAGTTATTGCTACAGAGGCCGCAGACTTCGGTGCACATACTATTCCTGTCGCCATTCCAGCTCCTTGGTGGTGGCAGGAGGCGAAGGCTGTAATTGGGGCCATAAATACGTGTTGTGCTTGGTGTTAATGGACTCAGCCATCTTTCCGCCTCACCAGGTCCCTGGCAGGTCAGAGTGAGCGTGTGTGTGCACATGTGTGTGCACGTGTGTTACCTGGGGGGTGTGCGTGTTGTGGGGGGGTGATGGAGTGTTCTGTGTACTTCCGGGGAGCCTGGACTCCGAGTGGGCAGGGAGAGAGGCCGGCCTAACGTGATGCCGACGGCCTGAGTGTCTCCCTGGAGCAGCTGTACCTGAGAGCGAGCAGAGCCGTGTGCAAAGA